TCTGCGAACACTTTCCATCAACGGCACAACTTCGTACTCTGTATCTGTCTGCAGAGACCTCCGATTACTTCGACTTGTTCTTCACCCACTCTTCGAAGAACACATTGGTGAATCTTCGCTCCTTATCCCTGTTCGCCATCAACTCAGAACAAGTGATCAAAGTGTTGGTGCCAAAGTTCTCCTATATGACACAACTATCGTCATTCACACTCCGTATGAAATTGAGCGATTTCGAAAGCATGACGGCTAAGAACGTTTCTGAACAAGTCACTGCTATTGTTGCAAACCAGTTGAAAGTAAACAACACTCTCACCCAACTTCATCTTCGATGGAACGAAATATCCGATAGAGGAGGTGAAGCACTAGCAGAAGCACTCAAAGTAAACAACACTCTCACTCAACTTGAACTTGGATATAACAGAATATCCGAGAGAGGAGGTGAAGCACTAGCAGAAGCATTAAAAGTAAACAACACCCTTACTCATCTTGATCTTAGCAGCAACCGAATATCCGGGAGAGGAGGTGAAGCACTAGCACAAGCACTAAAACTAAACAACACTCTTACTAAACTTGAACTTGGATATAACAAAATATCCGATAGAGGAGGTGATGCACTAGCAGAAGCATTGAAAGTAAACAACACTCTCACTCAACTTGATCTTAGCAGCAACCAAATATCCGATAGAAGAGGTGAAGCACTAGCAGAAGCACTGAAAGTAAACAACACTCTCACTCAACTTCATCTTGGATGGAACGAAATATCCGATAGAGGTGGTGAAGCACTAGCAGAAGCATTGAAACTAAACAACACTCTCACTCATCTTGAACTTGAATGTAACCAAATTATCCGATGAAGGAGGTGAAGCACTAGCAGAAGCACTGAAAGTAAACAACACTCTCACTAAACTTGATATTAGCAGCAACCGAATATCCGACAGAGGAGGTAAAGCACTAGCAGGAGCCCTAAAACTAAACAACACTCTCACTCAACTTCATCTTGGATATAACAAAATATCCGATAGAGGAGGTGATGCTCTAGCAGAAGCACTGAAAGTAAACAACACTCTCTCTCATCTTGATCTTAGCAGCAACCAAATATCCGATAGAGGATGTGAAGCAGTAGCAGAAGCACTAAAAGTAAACAACACTCTCAGTAAACTTCAGTTTGCATATAGCCAAATATCCGATAGAGGAGGTGAAGCACTAGCAGAAGCATTGAAAGTAAACAACAGTCTCACTCAGCTTGATCTTGGATATAACCAAATATCCGATAGAGGAGGGGAAGCACTAGCAGAAGCATTGAAAGTAAACAAGACTCTCACTCATCTTGATCTTAGCGGCAACCGAATGTCTGATAGAGGAGGTGAAGCACTAGCACAAGCATTGAAAGCAAACCACACTGTCACTCAACTTGATCTTAGAAGCAACTGAATATCTGATAGAGGAGGTGAAAGACAAGTGAAAGAAAAATGTGTTTTGGACTTAAATAATTCGTATTAATTTTTTGTGCGACGCCGTTTATTCAAAGAAAGAAAAATATTTCTCTGTCTTTTTCAAATTTCATTTGTTGTTCTTTCATGTTGTAAGTAGTAATGATGTTTATAAATAGTCTTTATAAAAATGTGATTAACGTATTGAAAAGACGGCTACAGCGAAGATAAACGAAGGAAGAAAACAAAAGCAGAATGATCAGAAGATTTGTTATTTGAAATGAGAATGAATACTGAAGATACATAAACTCATTGATAACAGACCTTGGACCAGCAAGTGTAGACACTTTTCATTTAGCTTTGGCACTCAGTGTTGGTGCCAAAGTTGTCCTATATGACACAACTATCGTCCTTCACACTCCGTATGAAATTGAGCGATTTCGACAGCATGACGGCTCAGAACGTTTCTGAACAAGTCACTGCTATCGTTGCAAACGAATTTAAAGTAAATAACACTCTCACTCAACTTCATCCTCTATGGCTTTTATTGTTGATCCTATAACTTTGCAAAGAAAGACCGTGTGGAGCTGGGAGATATTCCATTTTAATCAGAAATGTGCAGGCTACAATCAAGCCTTGTTAAGAAAGGCTTTGATTATTTTTTGCAGTTTCTGAAAACTGTTTTTTCAAAAACCAGGATCTTCAGAGATCCCTGGGGGAAAACCATTGTGATATTCGGATTCAGCACACGCGATTATCTATTGTCCACTAAGTTTCAGGCGAAAAAGCGATGGGACAGTTGGTGGCCTTCCCTCGTCAGACATTTTCCGAAAACATTTATTGCACAATGTATTTCTATAGCGTCTAGTATTCAGGGATACGCATTCTCTGAAAGTCCAAGCGTGAATGTTTTCTTCACATACGGCAAACGTTACCTTATTGGTAAGGCTCACGTTAGAATCATAAGACATCAGCCTCTCTCACC